AAAAAAAAAAAAAAAAAAATCCAAGATTGTTTCCCTATTTTAAGTTCAGCCGGTGAATAGTATTAATTTCATCTGTCACCCTAACCCCCTACCCTATAACCCTTTGCCTTACCTTATGAGGTTTGGGAAATAGGATGTAGACACCTCTGGGGGCCTTTATTCTACTGACCACATACACTGTGCCATATAATCATCTCAATGACCATGCACATCAGGCAAATTAGCATCACCATTTTACAGATGTGAGAGCCAAGGCTCAGGTCACCTAAGATCAATCACTTTGGAGGTGATTTAGAGTCAGTGGGGCAGATTCCAGATCTTGAGTGCTCTGCCTGGCTAAGCAGAGCAGATTCACTCATGACATAAACCAACCCTAGCAAGGAAGTGAGGGTGAGAGGAGCTTCAGCCAGGCAGAAGAGGATCCCTGCATCTGAGCAGAAAAATACAAGGGTCAGTGAGGCCACAGGGGTGCTCTCCCTCCCCACTCCAGGCACAAACCTCTCTGCAGAATGGATACTCGTCCCTGGGGAGAGAGAACAAGGCATCCCGAGGGGGCTGTCTGAGTAGGGGCGGATGGCTTGGGAAGTCTGCTCCTGGCAACTGAGACCCAGTGAATGCCTGGGCCTGGGAGCCCAACACATGGCCACCTCCATGCATGCACACACATACACACCTGTACATGTGAACGGCAGGCGGCTCACAGGAAACTTGGGCTGCTGGCACCAGGGGTCTGGAAGCTAGGTGGGAGAAGCACCAGCTGCCACAAAGAGCTCATGGCCACGACACAAATCCACCTGCCCACGGGGCAGAGCCTGGCCCAGTTCCTGCAGGCTCACCTGGAGAGTCACCCAAAAGCAGATGGTCCTGGGGACGTGGAAATGAGGGAAGCTGCCACATAGGGGAATGCTCTTAAGGAAGCACCGACCTCTAGGCCTCTAGACAGATGGTGCAGACGCACTTGTGATAAATGTTTGGTGGCTGTATGAGTCAGGGAGTTGGGCAGAAACAGAGCAGGAGAAAAAGTGAGTTAAGCGGGCCTGTCTCAGCAGAGTCAGTGTTGCAGCAGCCTTAGAGTCTGGACTAGAAGGTTTTGGACATTTTAGCCACGGAAGTGAAGGGACCCTGCTGACCAGGTCTCTTAGATACTCTTCTAGCTGCTGGGACACACTACCTGACGACATCCACAACTCCAGGGAAGTAAAAATTTATTTCAGCTCACGGTTTATAGAGGTTCCAGTCACAGTCCGCTGGCTCCAAGGCGGGGTGGTGTGGCAGAGGACAGTCCACAGCATGGTGGAGGGAGGCAGATAGAGCCCAAGGGAGGAGGGAGAGCGATAGCCCTGTCCACACCACACCCCCAGTGAGCCTCCGACCAAGATTCACCTCCCAACATCGCTCTGAGCTATAGACTCATTCACACTGATGAGGTTCACGCCCCATGACCCAGCACCTCCCCAAAGCCCACCTATGAGCACACGAGGCTTTGGGGGGCATCTAGCTAGAAACACAGGGATTTGAGAGAGGTGAGGAAGGTCCTAACTCGGGATGGGTGGTGCCCGGGAGACATAGGGAAGGTAAGGGGAGCCAGAGAGCAAGGCAGGAGCACCCATGCCTGCATTCAGGACACCACACAGCCTCCCTGAGTGTCAGTGACCAATGTCCCTGAATTGTGAGAAACTGAGAGGGCCCGGGTTTCCAGATCTCTGCTTTCCATTTTAAAACCAAAGACAGTGGCTGGACGTGGAGGCATTGGCATACATCTATAATCCCAGCTTGGAGGGCTGAGGTAGGAGCATTGCCATGAGTTCAAGGACAGCCTGGGCTGCATAGAGAGTTCAAGGCCAGCTGAGCTATATAACAAAACACCTTATCCAAAAGAAAAAAAGAAAAAAATCCACCAAAGTGAGTCCCAAGGGAACCAGTGTGAGACGGTCATCCTACTGTGACTGCCTCACTTCCAAGAGGACCTGTGGGTGTCATGGGTTACCCTGCTCACTCATGGCAGAACTGCTCAGATGTGTAACTGTGGGGTGGATGGGACCCCCACACACATCCAGTGGCGATCACTTTCCACCCTTAGCCAAGAGCGTGTTTCAGCTGTGACAGCACCCTGGAACAAATTCCGGAAGGAGGAGGCCGAGCAGGTGAGCCCTGTTCTGGGCCACCCTCGGCCCTGCCTGGCCTCCCTGGCTGGCCAGCCAGGTACACCTCGTCTGACCTCCCAGCAGCCAGTGGTGCAGGAACCACACCACCTGCATTCTGGGGCCCTGTGGACTTATTTACCTTGCCTAGAGCCCACAGTTGGGCAAGGTGGACCAGAATTCAAGGAGGTGAACCCTCCTACGCCAGCCCTGCAGCCCCCAGGCACCCTTGCGTGCTGCACCCTGTGGTGGTTTGTCCTCTGTGGTCTTAGGGTGCATTCACAACAGGCACCCCACTCCTCTCCTGCGGGCGCAGCTCAGATTTCCAGGGAGCCAGCAAAGGATGTGCGTGTGTGTGTGTGTGTGTGTGTGTGTGTGTGTGTGTGATATACAAGCCTCCACCGATGCTCACTGGGCCTGGAGCTTGAGCTCTGGGTGCTGCCACAGCCCCGGAGATGCTGTGAGCACAGCCGGCAAGGGGAGGGGAGGGACCCTTCCTCTCACACATGCACATGTGCGGCTCTATTTTTAAGATTCCTCCTTGGAACGCAGTAGGTCCTGGAACGTGTGCAATTTCCATGCTGTGGGAGAGAAAAATCTACAGCTCTACTCTACAAATTAGCAAATCACTTATTCTCGGTGTCTCATATACACTAACATTCCCCACCTACCTGTGGCTCTACAGAAAAAAGATAATAATAACGTGTTGTTTTAAGTCGCTAAGCTGTCGTGTGTTTTGTTTGTAGGAGTAGATAACCGACGACGACCCATTACCGTGAACTTCATTCTGTAAGTGTAGTAAAAAGCCTTCTCTGTAGGCGCAGGGACTGAAGCGATGCTGGCTTGCATGAATGTGGGAGACGGCTTGGACACAGTGAGGAGGTGGCACCCGGGCCTGCTGGGAGGGGCTCAGCCTGTGTGCCATCTCATCCTCTATTGGCTTGGCGAGAAGCCCCTGGAAGCACTGGGGAGATGTGGGGAAAGAGCAAACAAAGCGAACAAGGACCCAGCCCTTGGGAGCATCCACACAGACCTTTCATTTGGTGGCTTTGGGGCCGAGACTTTCACCCTAGGCACAGAAGTCCCTGTACAGTAAGGAGAGGACTCACCTCGCCCACGTCACACAAGAAACTGCAGAAAGTACATGCACCCCCACATGCCAGTGCGTCCTGGAAACACAGACCCCAACCATGGCTCTTGGCTCTCATGGAGCACAGGGGCAGGCCAATGTTAGCATGTGAAGTGTCAGGTCCAGGGTAGGGCTCCCCCAACTTTCCAGCAGGCCTAGAGCAGCTCACAGTGAAATACTCATCCCTGGAGCTCTGTTCTCCCAAGGCTGTGCCCAGGCTTCAGTGTGTCAGTGTGTGGGCCAGGCCAGCCAAAAGCAGCGGGCACAACTAGACCCGTGTTTGGCCCCTAAGAATCAGCTCTTTGGAGACTGAGAACGTAGCTCAATGGTAGAGCAGCTTGTGACAGCACGAGCAGGGCAGCTGGCTGGTAGAGCCCTTACCTAGCATGTGTAAGGCCTTGGGTTTGATCCCCAGGGCTACAGAAGAAAGAAAGTCAGGGAGGGAGAGAGGAAGGATGGACAAATGAGATAACTGTTTAGCGAGGACTCCCTGTCTGGGGAAATGAGGAAGGAAAGAGGCAAACAACTTGGAATTAAAAGGTTCCGGCTGCTGAGCTTCTCTGGCTCAGTGTAGACGGGGAGAAAGATCCAGAATAGCCTGAAGGAGTGGTCACCAGGGAGCCCCAGCTAGGCCCAACATCCACTGTGTGTAGAACAAAGCCCTCCAGGTGACATTTTCTAGGTGGTTTTAAGCAAATGCCTTGTCATAATATTTGTGTTAAGTTGCCATTTATGATTTTTAAGCTCCTAGGCTACCTCGAAAAGAAATCTTTGCTGAGAAGCCCAGCTTAGTCGAAAGGTCAGGGGTTTGAAAACCAAACAGTGAGATCAAGCAGCGGGAGAACAAGTTTCTGCCTGCTGCCTCTCCCTTGGGCAAGGGGCGGGCCATTGGCTGACCAGTGGCCATCAGCTGGCCTTCCTCTGGAGGCTCTTGACAGAGGTGCGCAGGTGGCAGTCGGTCAGTGATCAGACTGGGGTGTGACTGCAAGCACCACAAGGGCAGGACATGGTTTGGACACACAGGCCAGCCCCAAGCCTGCTTTCATAGCGAGTGGGCAGTAGGTGTCAGAGAGCAGACCCAGTCTAGTCTGGTGGAGCTTCCCAGCCTCATGGGCATGTAGCCTCGTTCCCTGCAGTCTGCACGGTCTGTGCGACAACCTTCCCTCCCTGGGAGGCCTGTCAGCCCAGCCCCCTCCAGGGACTTGATTCAACTCCTATTCCACAGAATACATGATGACTCTTGCCCAAATACTGATGCAAACCCTCCCTGTTGGCCTCTCGGCCTACTGTCTGGGCTTCTAGAGAAGACACCACGTGTATTTCCTTTGAAGATTTAATGTTAAGTGCTTACTTTTACATGCTAAGACTGCTGGATGAGAATGTCATGTCTTGCTCGGACAGGCAAGCCCAGAACAGGTGCAGAATAGAATAAATATGGGCCCATACGGCCACGAGCTCATTAGCCCAAACCTGTCCCTGCTGATGGTCTGGGCCTAGGTTCTGGGACGCAGGTCTGGGTGGGTACCGCCTCTGGGACTGTGACCCCTGAGCTGGTCCTCCTGACTTCAGACACCCCAAATCCACTCAGGAGCAGGAACAGGGTTGGGGAGGGCTCCAAGGGGAGACAGTAGTGGGACCCTGGGCAGACCACAGATGGACACAAGCACTTGCTGGGACTCTGCGGGTCAGAGGACATGGGCAGCTCAAAGACCTCACCTGGGCCAGGGCGGGACCAGTGAGAAGCCCAGAGGAACCAAGCCAGCCAAGGGTGCTGCGCTTTCCCTCAGGTCAGAGCCTCCACCCCAACACACCGGGCCTGGCCAGGCCCTTGCATTCCTGGCTTCTGAGACTGTGGATGACCAGACTCGGGGTGTCCATTCAAACCCAGGAAGTGCAAGACCCCCGGTGCGGTGTGGACTCAGGGCCTGGGCGCGGAGGAGGAGGAAGAGGAGGAGGAGGAGCAGGAGGAGCAGGGCTGCTCCTTTGTCTGCCTGCGCTCCCCTTCTCGCCTCTGCCCCTCCTAGAGCAAGCGGCTGCCTGGGTGCTCAGCTTGTGGCGCCCCACAGGCACCCAGGAGGAGGAGGAGGGCCCAGCCAGCTGTGGGAGTCCCAGCCGCTGCCAGCGGGAAG